CTCCCAAATTTGATATTATAGTCCCAGTGTAGATAGAAATTCCCTTATATTCTACTACCTCCGTCTGGGTTTAGTAAGCCCCCTCTAGTCCAGACCAGATTTTTGTAGCATATATTTTATATTTTTTTAGTCATATGAATGGTCAAAGTTTGACTCAAAATACTACTCCCTCCATTCCACAATGTAGTGCTTCCTCTATCTACGTGCTTCAACTTTGACCGTAAATTTAACTACCAAGACTGATTGCGGCGGGAGCAAAAATTATATCAGTGATTTCGTATTCGAAAGAAGTTTTAATTATATAATTTTTTTCTCCCGCCGCAGTTGGTCTCGTTGGTTAAATTTATGGTTAAAGTTGGACCTCAGAAAGCGCGGGCGCACTATATTTTGGAATGAAGGGAGTAGAAGGCCTAATAAACCCGGATGGCGGTAATAATTCCGAGCGGTAGTATATTTCATTTATGATAAAGCTTCCTAAGGAATTCATTATAGGAATGTTTCCGATAGAAATGGTTTGCTTTTGCACATCGAAACCAAAAATTAATCTTACAGATACATATCATTCGAAAGAATAGGTGAATTACCAAAACGTACAGGCATCGCGGTGCAGCAAAGCGTGCCCTACGGCTTCTAGTATAATATTAAAGTCTAGCGTGTTTCCTATGCTTTGGCATGGCATACAAGAACAGATCATTAACATGTAGTGAAGATCAATGCACGATAAAATAAGTTTCTTACAATTGTAGCCTGTTAGGAACATAGAGAGGGCTCTTGGAGTGGTTACTCCTTCCTCTCTCATAATAATTGTAAGTATTGAAAGCAAACTCAACAATATAACTTCCATGAGAATTATCATGAGCACAAACAAACTATGAACCACAAATATAGATATAGTTAAGCAAATTTCTCCTCTAGGTTGTATTTGGGAGAATTAAGTAACAAGATAGACTATCATATGTGAGAGAGAAGCACTAGCCTGCCTCCCTTGAGAGGATCCGAGCTCACCAACCAGATCGTAACTTCTGGTATTTGGTGATGATGGCCTAAAGTTGTTGGAAGGAGTTCGACAGGATAGCATCACCTCTTTTCTTCCAAGTTTAGAGGGTGGTTTAATGATTCTTAATTTCTTATTAGTGTGGTTCAGCCTACACACGTGCTCCGATGTATTCATATCTCTTATTAATGAAAATACCTGAGGCAAAATCAAGCAGAAAAGAGTTGGCTTTGTGCTGCAGGTGGAACATCTTCTGGACCCTACTAGATATGGACAGACTCACCTTTCAAATTTTCGTCCCATCTATTTGTTTTAACCATCTGCTCTGCCCCTCCGACATATTCAATCCTCTCAGTAGGCCACCACCAGCGCCATTGATTGCATTTGCAAAGGTGTGTGTCTGCTCCTTGTGATTTCAAAAGTACAGTCAGGTCCACATATATAGTAGTTCTGAACAGAATCAGGAAAAAAAAATTACCTCCTAGTCTCCTACAAAAGTTGGAGAATAGCACTGCTGCTAAGGAGTGAGTGAGAGAGAGAGAGGAGATGGCATGGCCGTGGGTCCTGATGTAGGCGAATAGAGACAGCACTGTGGTCTGTAGCTAAAATCGAACCCTTTAATCATAGTTCAATCCCTAGAAAATGCAGTCACAACACACGCGATCCCTCGATTTGGAATGAGCGTGCCACCTTTTTACCATATCTTGGTGATAACTGATAAGCAACCTACCACTCTTCAGACCAAAAGTAGACAAGAGCACATGCAGGTAACTTTTAGGTGCTGAGCTCCATCCCTTAACCCTCATCTGCTCCATCGACCATCTTGTAAGCAGCCATGGAAACAGCAGCAGCAGACGAGGAGAGGCCCCTGCTTCATCTCCTACCGTATAATCAGGTACTGCCCAACACTAGTATATATGAGAATAATTTCAGTTAGCACGTGTAATTCTTCAGTTCTTGTCGGTCCTCCGCGAGAGATTTACAGTTGCAAATTTCCAAACTGGATATCCTGGCACTGCGATGCAGGATGTAGGTTCAGACTACACCGTCGATGGATCTGTTGACATCAACAATCAGCCTGCTCTGAAGTGCAACACAGGCAATTGGAGGGCGTGCTACATGATTTTAGGTACCAAGACAACAGCGATTCACTCATGCAAACTGCTCCTGTTTTTTCTCTTCTCTTTTTACTGCTGACCGCCTCAACGCATCTCAGGAGTCGAGTTCTGCGAATGCGTCGCCTTCTTCGCAATCGCGACCAACTTGGTAACCTACCTCACCACCGTGCTCCACGAAAGCAAGGTCGCTGCTGCACGGGACGTCTCTGCCTGGGTCGGCGCATGCTTCCTCACACCACTTATTGGGGCCTTCTTGTCTGACACATATCTGGGAAGATACTGGACGATAGTTGTTTCCCTTCCAGTCCACACCATCGTAAGTACAGCTAGCACAGCTAACCGACCAGATCTGTATGACAACAATTGCAGCTCTGAACACTTTCACTTTGACAGGGAATGCTCGTGCTCACAGTTGCAGCATCAGTGCCGACATCATACTACCAAGGTGATGCTCATCGTACTGTGGTGGTGTACCTGGGACTCTATCTTGCCGCACTTGGGACCGGTGGCATTAAACCCTGTGCGTCAGCCTTCGGTGCCGACCAATTCGACAGCGGAGACCTGACGGAGCTGGAGAAGAAGGGCTCCTTCTTCAACTGGTACTACTTCCTACTCAATCTCGGCTCCCTTCTGTCAAGCACACTGCTTGTTTGGCTGCAGGACAATGGTGGGTGGGGGCTCAGTTTTGCAATCCCAACGGTGCTCATGACCTTGGGCCTAGCAGTTTTTGTTGGTGGCTCCAGAGTGTACAGGTTCAGGAAACTGAGAGCAAGCCCATTCACGAGTATATGTCAGGTGCTTGTTGCGGCCGTCAGGAAGTGGCATGTGCAACTGCCAGATGATATCTCGCTCTTGTATGAGCTGCCCAGTTCGTCATCATCAGCTGAATCAAGTCACAAAATTCAGCATACAAGTCAATTCAGGTACTCCAATTATTGCATTACTCAAGTCAACCTATTGTCTAAATTTGACAATTAAAAACAAGTCATTTTCATTGAGCTATGACATCTTTTGGTGTAAGACAATAATTCACTTGTGAGCTGTGACATCTTATTTGCCAGTACAAAAGATATCAGAAATTTGCTATGAAACCATATCTAGAGACTGCATCTATGACTAAACTTAAATGCAAGAGCTTACCTCTTATATCTACAAGTTATAATTATGTGATTGCAATCTTCAGGTTTCTAGACAAGGCTGCCACTGTGCCGCCCCCGTTAGACCAGAGATGCATGGTGTTACCGTTGTGTTCATGGAGTCTCTGCACAGTGACCCAAGTTGAGGAGTTGAAGATACTGCTATGGATGTTCCACGTCTGGGCGTCGTTCGTGATCTTCTACGCAGTCGCTGGGCAGACCGCATCGACGTTTATCGAGCAGGGGATGGTCATGGACAACCACGTCGGCCAGTTCGCAATCCCACCTGCCTCCCTCTCTATTGTCAGCGTGTTCAGCGTCCTTATCGGGGTTTTCATCTACGAATCCGTGCTAGTGCCACTCGCGCGGCGTTATACTGGCAAGGCGAAGGGCTTCTCGCCGACGCAGCGCCTTGGAATTGGCTTTGCGCTGTCCATGCTGACCATGGTCTACTCAGCAATGCTCGAGATGAAGAGACTGGCGACAGCACAAGCTAGGGGTCTGAGAGACCAGAATGTGCCTGTGCCAGTGATCATTCTGTGGCAAGTGCCTGCATATGTAATGCATGGTGCAGCCGGGGTTTTCGCAGGAATCGGCATGATGGAGTTCTTCTACGATGAGGCCCCTTACACCATGAAGAGCCTTTGTGCAGCATTCGCGCAGCTTGCAGTTGCGTCCGCAGCTTACTTCAACGCGCTCATATTTAGTGTTGTTGCGGTGGCCACGACGCACGGTGATGCTCCTGGATGGATCCCGGATAATCTGAATGAAGGGCATTTGGACTATTTCTTCTGGATGATGGCTGCTCTTAGTTTACTGAATCTGGCGCAATTTGTGCACTACTCCATGAGGTATAGAGAGAAGACAACTTCTTGACACCGAATAGTAGACACTGGGCAGAGGATTAAAGACTTCCCCCATCACACCGCAACAAAGATGGCTTCTATGCAGTTTCTGTGGACGGCGCACAACATTTGCTTCCATCGGAATGATACATAATATGCCAAAACTTAATATCATTGTATATATAGTTTTACCTCTGCCTATTCTCTGTACTTAACAGCCAAGTCCAAGCCAAGAGAAGAATCTCAAACAAAATTAATAAAGTTCTTTGGTGTGGGCGCACGAGCTGGTTACACCGTCACGACTTCAATAGTTTATTTGATGCAAATCATGGTTTGGTTAACTGATGGGATCATTCAAAGTGGTATTTTTCACGCCAAAAAAAGAAAGAAAAGAATCCCAAGTGGTTTCCTTTTAATAAAGATGATCCAGTTAGGGGGTTGTTGTGATAGAATATTCTGATCGTCTTTAAGGATACTTTCATAGTCAATTGTAGGACAGTAGACTGAAGCTCACAAACGGGGAGGCATGCTGGCCTGGATCCCCTACATAGAATCCCTGAACCTCTGATTCCCCTGTATCTG